CCGCCTACCTCGGCCTCCCAAAGTGCTGGGATTTTAGGCGTGAGCCACAGCATCCATCCCCCCAGGGTTTAGAATAGAGCATGGTACACAGTAGACGTTCAGTAAATGTCTGTTGATCAGTAGCCACGTGTGCACTTAGATACAGCACCGACATGCACATACTGCACACGCACACACAGCTATACACAGCCACGTGCACACACAGAGTACACAACCCACTTACCACAACCACGCGGAGACACCACATCCACACACACAACCATGTGCCCACAGACACTCTTGGACACAGAAAGGCACCCCGGCCAATGCATGGAGAATTGCAGATTTGACCAAGCTGGTCAGAGGTGATGCAGGAACACAGACACACACATGCTCCAGGCAAACTCTTGCATTTCTGACTCAAGTCCCCACCGCACCCTGGGTAAGTATCTGATGTCCTAGAGCCGCGATCCCCAACCTTTTTGGCACCAGGGACTATTTTCATGGAAGACAATTGGTACGGGGCGGGGATGGTTTCTGGATGATTCAAGCACATGACATTTATTTTTCACTTTATTTTTATTATTATGACATTGTAATACATAATGAAATAATTCTACAACTCACCATAATGTAGAATCAGTGGGAGCCCTGAGCTTGTTCTCCTGCAGCTAGACAGTCCCGGCTGGGGGTGATGGGAGACAGTGACAGATCATCAAGCATTAGATTCTCATAAGGAGTGAGAAAGATCCCTCAAATGTGCAGTTCGCAATGGGATTCTTGCTCCTACGAGAATCTAATGCTGCTGCTGGTCTGACAGGAGGTGGAGCTCAGGCGGTAATCTGAGCGATGGGGAGCGGCTGTAAATACAGATGAAGCTACTCTCGCTCGCCCACCACTCACCTCCTGCTGTTTGGCACAGTTCCCAATGCCTGGTGGTTGAGGACCCCTGTTCTAGAGGACAAAACCTCCAGCATCCCCTGCCCCAGCTCCCTGAGGGCACAAATTCGGGTGATTCAGGGTCCAGTTCTACAGGAAGCCTGACCCAGGAGTCTTGCCATCCAGTCCCTGATTTGCCACCACAGACTTCAGAATTCCTAGCACCTAGTCTTGAAAGCGACCCCAGACTCAAAAGTCACAGCTGGACAACAGATGGTAGAGGGAGGTTCTGGTTTTCAGGATGTTTTGGAGTCTCCTCCCACTGCCACCCACCCCCTGTGATGGTCCAGCCTCCTGTCTGATGCTGATGGCCATGAGCAGAGATTACAGCCACTTCTGGTGCCAGGGAGCCCACCCAGACTCCAGCCCAGGGATTCCCTTCCCAGACCTTCTCTCCTAACTCCACTGTGGTCATGGGGGTAGGGCGGGACCACTGAGTCAGAAGTGTGGTCAGGGCCAGAGAGGGTGAGTCGAGTGCCTTGTGTGTGTCCCTGCCCTTCACTGCTTTGTGTGTGTGTTGGGAGTGGGGATACTCCATTACCCCCAGAACTATTTGTCTCTAGTCCCCATCCAATAGTCCTGTATCTGGATCCTAAGAGGAATCTCTTCAGGTTCCTCAATTCCAACATTGACATCATAGACATTCTCCTGCCCCAGACTGCAGACTTGGAGGTCATACCTGCCCGGGTGATGTGGACAGGCAAGCCCCCTATTAAAGCCTCCATTTCCTCAATAGCTAATGCCTAGACCCCCTGCGGTAGGCAAGGTGATCCTCTTCCTCCTCCTCCTCCTCCTTCCTGTTCCTCCTCTTCTTCTCCTTCTCCTTCTCCTTCTTCCTTTTGGAGATGGAGTCTCATTCTGTTGTCCAGGCTGGAGTGCTGTGGCATGATCTCAGCTCACTGCAACCTCCACCTCCAGGTTCAAGTGATTCTCCTGCCTCAGCCTCCTGAGTAGTTGGGATTGCAGGCGCCCACCACCACTCCTGACTAATTTTTGTATTTTTAGTAGACACGGGCATTTTGCCATTTTGGCCAGGCTGGTCTCAAATTCCTGACCTCAAGTGATCCACCTGCCTCGGCCTTCCAAAGTGCTGGTATTACAGGCGTGAGCCACAGAGCCCAGCCGAGGCGAGATTCTTCTGCTTGCAAGTACGACAGACTCTATTTCAAACTAGTTTGGGCAAAACTAAAAGGAAGTTTCTTGTTTGTGTAACTGACAAACCCAGGGTTAGAACAACAGGTATGGCTTGGAACCAGGTCTCAAATGATGTCTCCAGGACCCAGACTTCCTCTAGGGTCTGATTTTCTCAGCACTGCCTTCACTCTCAAGTAGATTCTTTCCTGTCACAGCTCCCATTACATCCTCCCATTGTGGCAGCCCTAGTGAGCGTTGGAAAAAAAAGAGAAAGCTTTCTTCCCGCTGGTTAAACCAATAAAAGTCCCAGACCAGAGTTTCATTGGGTGGGTCTTGCTCAAATGCCTGCCTCTCTGCCCAATCTTAGAGTCTGATTGGCTGGGTCTAGATCATTTGTCCACTGTAAACCAATCCCTAGTTTATGGGTGGTTGGACCTAGGACACATTTTCTTTCTTAAAAGAAAATTGAGAATATTCCCTATGAAAGGGACAGGTGCTGGTCAGTCAGCTTCGCAGATGTTTCTCACAAGACGTGATTGCTTGTGGGCCTCTGGTTTAGCGTGGCCTTTTTCTTAAAGGAAGTCCAGAGCCTGGAATCGGGTCTCAGCCCCACCCAAGCCCAGGAAATGTGCAACGCTGTGGCTCCACCCCCTGCACCTGTTCATCAAGGCAGAGCCCACAATCAATTGGTCCGTCTGCTCCATTAGAAGGTGGTCCTATAGCTCAGTAACTGTCTTCTTTCTAAGATCAAATAGAGGAGCTGGCATGAAGTCATTTTTAAATTGATCTTTCTTGGAGACACAGGATTTGGCAATACTGTAGGAAACAGAAAATTTTCCTCACCAGATCTCAACATTCAAGTTGTCTCAAATTTCACCACATATTTTAAACCAAAGCATCATCACTTTCTGCACATAAGACAGAGAGTCTTATACTTGTTTTTTCTTTTCTTTCTTTCTTTTTTTTTTTTTTGAGACGGAGTTTTGCTCTTGTTGCCCAGGCTGGAGTGCAGTGCGCGATCTCAGCTCACTGCAACCTCCACCTCCCGGGTTCAAGTGATTCTCCTGTCTCAGCCTCCCGAGCGACTAGGATTACAGGCATCTGCCACCACGCCCAGTTAATTTTTGCATTTTTAGTAGAGATGGGGTTTCATCATATTGGTCAGGCTGATCTCGAGCTCCTGACCTTAGGTGATCCACCCGCCTCAGACTCCCAAAGTGTTGGGATTACAGGCATGAGTCACGGCCCCCAGCCATTTTTTTTTTAACCTAAAAGGGAGAAAACTAAAATTCTCAAGACCAGCATCGTCCATCAGCAACCTTGAGCACTCGAAAGGTAGCTAGTCTAAATTGAGGTGCTCACTCTATACACATTTGATTTCGAAGGCTTCATGCCAAAAAAGGAATGTAAATTAGCTCATTAATCATTTAAAAATATTACCTACATGCTGAAATGATCATAGTTTGGGTATATTATGTTAATAAAAATAGTATTAGCATTTTTTTCAAATATTGACATTATTTTAGTTGAACTCTTTTTAGCCTTTTAATGTGGCTGCTAGAAATTTTTATTTTTATTTATTTATTTTAGACAGAGTCTTCCTCTGTTGCCCAGGCTGGAGTGCAATGGCGTGATCTCAGCTCACTGCAACCTCTGCCTCCCGGGTGCAAGAGACTCTCGTGCCTCAGCCTCGTGAGCAGCTGGGATTACAGGTGCCCATCACTACACCAGCTAATTTTTTTTGGTTTTTATATTTTTAGTAGAGACAGGGTTTCACCATGTTGGCTAGGCTGGTCTCGAACTCCTGACCTCAAGTGATCCACCCATCTCGACCTCCCAAACTGCTGAGATTACAGGCATGAGCCACCGCACCTGGCCAGAAAAAAATAAAAACAAAAATGTATGCCTGAAATCCCTGCACTTTGGGAGACCAAGGCTGGAGGATCAGTTGAACCCAGGAGATCAAGACCAGCCTGGACAACATAGTGAGACCCTCATCTCTTCAAAAAATAAGAAAAATTAGACCGGGCATGGTGGCTTATACCTGTAATCCCAGCACTTTGGGAGGCCGAGGCGGGTGGATCACGTGAGGTCAGGAGTTCGAGACCAGCCTGACCAACATGGTGAAACCCCGTCTCTACTGAAAATACAAAATTAGCCGGGCGTGGTGGTGCATGCCTGTAATCCCAGCTACTTGGGAGGCTGAGGCAGGAGAATGACTTGAACCTGGGAGGCGGAGGTTGCAGTGAGCTGAGATGGGCATGTGAACGCATGCCTGTGTCTATTTTTCTGAGTATCACAATGCAAATAGTACGCAAATGAGTTTGTGATGTGTGTCCGTGTGCAGACCTGTGTATGTGTGTGTGTGAGACAGAGAGAGAGAGAGAGAGAGATAGAGTATCTGGGTAGATGAGCAGATGGATAGGTGAGAATGAGAAACCTGGAGTTTCCAGGTGCAAAGGAAACTGTTCTTCCAGGTTTTTGATTTTTTTATTTTTTTTGAGACAGAGTTTCGTTCTTGTCACCGAGGCTGGAGTGCAATGGTGTGATCTCGGCTCACTGCAGCCTTCGCCTCCTGGGTTCAAGCGATTCTTCTGCCTCAGCCTCCTGAGTAGCTGGGATTACAGGTGTCCACCATCACACCCAGCTAATTTTTGTATTTTTAGTAGAGACAGGATTTCACCATGTTGGCCAGGCTGGATTCGAACTCCTGACCTCAGGTGATCCACCCACCTCAGCCTCCCAAAGTGCTGGGATTACAGGCGTGAGCCACCGTGCCCGGCCTCCTCCAGGGTTGTATAAAAGCAGGGGATTTTGGGAGGGAGGGAAGGATGTGGGTCTGTCCTCAGTCCCAGATGTGGGTGTGGTGTTCCAGTGGTTAGGTCCCGTTGCCTCACATCTGTGCTTTTCCTCCACGGGGACTTGTAGAAGTAGAACTTCTTGGGGGTGGAGCTGAGGGGTGGAGCTGAGGCTGGGGGAGGAAGGTGTGGGGGGACCCAGGGGTCCTGTCTCCAAGCCTGGTTGCTCTTACCCGAAAAGTGGGGACACTGAGGTGTCACAGCTTCTCTTTTGAGACAGAGAGGAAGTAGGAGGGTGAGGCCCATCCAGGTAGACACAGACACACACAGAGACACACAGCTTCCTGTAACATTTCCGAGTGTCAAATTCCATCTCCCGGTCTGGAGGTTTTTCTTCCTGAGACTTCTAGGCTCCAAAGACCCTCTTGATCAGGGCAAGGATGAGGGTGCCCCAGGGTGGGAGAGTCGTGGATCCCTGAAAAGAGGAGGCTGCTCCCTCTCTTCCCTCCCCCCACCTCCAGATTTCCTCATCTGCCTTGACACCTTCCGGTGGGTGGGGACGTGTATGGACAAATTTGTGGGCTGGGGACCATGGAAGTGGAGGAAATCTACAAGCGCCAGGAAGTCAAGATGCAAGCACCAGCCTTTAAGGACAAGAAACGGGGGATCTCAGCCAAGAATCAAGGTTAGGGACCTTGAGGTGGAAGGGAGGGGTTAAGAAGGAGAGGTGCGGGGGCCGGGGGCCGTTGCTCACGTCTGTAATCCCAGCACTTTGGGAGGCTGAGGCGGGAGGATTGCGTGAGCCCAGTCGGTGGAGACTGGCCTGGGCAACATAGGGAGACGCTGTGTGTAAAAAAATAAAAATAAAAAAAGAAGGAGAGGTTCAGATGGGAGAGGTAAGGGGTTAAAGGTGGGGGCCGGGGGCTCCTTCCCTTCCAAGGTGTGTGTGTGTGTGTGTGTGTGTGTGTTTATGTGTGCTGTAATCACTCAAACCCTCACACACCCGCTCTGCTTAACCAAAAAGCAGATTTTAGCTTCTCACTCCTTATCTTTCACCCCCTACAATTTATCGAGTGCAAAGGGTTGGGTAAAACAAGATCCCGAGTCCCCTCGCTACACCACAGAGCTCTGAGCAGGTCTCCAAACCCTCCCACTGCCCTCCACACAGATGCCCATGACCCAGACTATGAGAATATCACCTTGGCCTTCAGAAACCAGGACCATGCGAAGGGTGGTCATTCACAACCCACGAGTCAAGGTGAGCAGACACTCACCTGCTCACATCCCATCACCTTGGGAAGGGGCAGGTGGGCAGGCAACTGCAGGGCCCCCGAGGCTGCGTGGACGGGAGGAGGCAATGGGGAAGGAAGAGGTGACAGCTGTTGATGTGATAATGAGGTCTGTTGATGATGGCAATGTTGGGGAATGCTGGTGAGGGGGTCTGTGATGGTGACGGTGTTAGATCGCTGAGGGTGGCTGCTGGCGGCGGTGTTGTTGACAGTGACGGCAAGCTGCATGACCACAGCTGCTGATGGTTTTGGGAGGAGCGAGGTATCCATGGTGTTAGAGACAGTGAGGATGGTTTGAGTGGTGGTGCTGGCCCCTCAAGGTCACTTCGCCGCCTCTCTGCTCCAGTCCCAGCCCAGGGCAGGCCACCCTCAGACTCCACCCAGGTCCCCCGCTGGTTGTACAGAGCCATCCTGAGCCTGTACATCCTCCTGGCCCTGGCCTTTGTCCTCTGCATCATCCTGTCGGCCTTCATCATGATGAAGAGTGAGTACTTCTTGGGAGGAGGGTGCTGGGGGGCCCTAGACTTTCTCCCTTGTCCCTCTCTCTCTCTCTCCCTGGGTGCTTCAAGGATTTTCCTGCCCCTCCTAAACAGATGCTGAGATGTCCAAGCAGCTGCTGGGCTTTAAAACGGAGCTTTGGAACGGTGAGCAGAGGGTCTGAGGGAGACCCATGGGGTCATGGTAGGGATCTGGAGAGGAATGGATGCCCTGTTTCATGCCCTCAGTCTCAAACTCCATGCAAGCATGCGAAGAGAGACAGAAAGAAGTCTGGAAATCTGTTCAGGGGAGCATCACCACGGTCAGGAGCAAGGTGGAGAAATTAGAGATGCATTTAGCAGGTGCCTGTGTAGTCTCGCCTTCTGTGGGGGAAATTTGTCACCAATGCCTGGCACTGAGCTGGGGGCAGGGAATTCAGGGAAGGAGATAGCCGGTGTCCTACCCTCCCAAAACTCAAGTTGTGGAGGGGCAATGGGTGTTACCCTCTGGGTCGCTCTGTAGGTATTTAAAGGCTCCTGGGAACCCCAAATCCACGGGCTCTGCTGTACCCCAGGGTGGGTGTGGGGCAGGGAGGGGCTTCCAAGGAAGGTGGGGGCTTTGTCTGAGGCTCCACGGCAGCTTGACGTATCTGTTCCCGCCCAACCCTCCCCGCCCCCAGACATAAGAAACGTTAACACAAAGGTACAGAAAATCTTGGAGTTGCTGCAGACAAAGCCAGGTAAGTTGGCGCCCCGAGGGGAGGGGGAGGAGGGTGGGTGGGGCTTTGGATTTAGCCCCAGTTCCTCTCCCAGGGGCGGGATCTGCCTCACTGTGGGTCTCTCCCCATCCCCAGAGTCCCCACCTCAATAAATGGGAGAACATTGTGGCAGCCAAAGCTAAAGCTTGGAAGACGGGGCTGCATCTGCTAATGAAGACGGGAAGTGACCCCCCTCCAGCCTAGTGTGAACCTGCCCCTCGTCCCACATATAGAAAACCTCGAGTCATGGTGAATGAGTGTGTCGGAGCTGCTCGTGTGTGTGTACACCTGCGTGTGTGTGTGTGCGTGGTGTGTGTGCGCGTGGTGTGTGTGCGCGTGTGTGCACGGTGTGTGTGTGCATTTTGCAAAGGGTGGACATTTCAGTGTATCCCCCAGAAAGGTGATGAATGAATAGAACTGAGAGTCACAGTGAGTGTGGCGTGCACGTCTGTGTCACGTGACATACGTGAGTCTCGGCATGTCACGGTGGGTGGCTGTGTCTGAGGACCTCCAGGTGTCACTCTGAGTGTGGGTGTTGGTGACATGCATTGCACGGGCCTGTCTCCCTGTTTGTGTAAACGTACCCGAGTGTACTGTGGCATGTTTTGTGTCTACACATGTCATGGTGGGGGAGATGTATCTCTGCACATGTGGGTGTCACCGTGTGTGCCCTGTCACTGTGCCTGGGTGAACGGCTGTGTCATTATAAGTGTGCCAAGTTATGTCACCCTGTGTGCTCAGGGCACATGCACACAGACAGTCATTTATCTCTGCACTCACATTTTGTGACTCATGAAGATAAATAAAGTCAAGGGAAAACAGCGTCGCTATGGGACCTGTTATTGGGGCAACTAGAGGGGCTTTGGGACCTGGGGAGAGGGAGAGTCTGCACGTGACAATGACCCCGGGGCACAAGGGTGGGTGAGACTGCCCTGTGTGAGTACCTGTGTGTCTGTGAATGAGTAACTCATTCCCTGTGTCCCAGAGTGGGTGCCCCTGAGCGTACAACATCTCCCTGAGTGTACCTGGGCCCACGGATACATACAAACCCCAAGCGTGTATCCATGTGTGTAATCGTGCCCGTGAGTGTATCTATGCCACTGAGCATGCATCCATGAGTGTACATGACTCTAATGTACTATGTCCACCGCTCATGCATGCACTTATTTTTTTTGTTGTTTTTTGAGACAGGGTCTTCCTCTGTCACCCATGCTGGAGGGCAGTGGTACGATCATGACTCATTGCAGCCTCGACCTCCTGGGCTGAGGCGATCCTCCTGCCTCAGCCTCCCGAGTAGCTGGGATTACAGGTTCACACCACCACACCTGGCTAATTTTTTTTTTTAAAGAGGTGGGGGTCTCGCTATGTTGGCCAGGTTGGTCTCAAACTCCTGGCCCTAAGTGATTCTCCCACCTCCGTCTCCAAAAATGCTGGGGTTACAGGCAGGAGCCACCAAGCCCGGCCACATGGATGCACTTAAGACGATTGAACCCATCCCCAAGGGCATAGGAGTGTCTGGAAACGTGAACAGGTGTGTCCACGTGCAAGGGTATACATGGGCCCATTGTCATACGCGTGCCCTGAGCAGGTGACTAGGCCTGCAAGCATCCCCTCCAGCGTGGGCCACCCAGAGTTAGCGAGACCCTGACCACGCGCAGAGCAGCGATCACAGCCGCGGGCCAAGTCCCGGGGTCCGGCTCCACGGACTCGCGCGCCCCCGCGCGGCCGCTCTCGGGCACCGCCGCACGCGCCCCGCCCACACGCCTGGCCCGTCGCGCGCCTGCGCACCCAGCGCCTTTTACGGCGCCGTAAAGCAGCGCTGCCCAGCCGAAGGCTGCGGTTCCTGGTGAGACCCTGCCTTCCCCCCTTGCCTGCGCCGGGCCTGGTGCGCTCCCGACCCCTTCCCCGCGGGCCTGTGGGTCCCGGGCTGGGGTCTCGACGTCCGCGATCCCGGGTCCGCTCGCTTCCGCCCCCTTCAGGAGGCTGCGAGGAGGGTGGGTTTCTCCCCATTGTAGAGGTACGGAGCGAGAGTCGCGGGGCCCTGTCCCTGCGGCGGTTCAGCTCACTTCAGCCCACATCGCAGCCCGGTGGTGGGGTCTTAGCGATCCCCCTCTCATCTCGCGCGCCCACGGCCCTCGCCACGGACGGATCTGTATGCTGGGGCTGGGGCGACCCGGAGCCCCTGGGACCTCCCTCCCCTCCCAGCTAGTTCTCCCACCTCCCGTGCAGACCTCGTTGGGGTCGGCTCAGCATCCACAGACCTCCCCATGCATGGTGGGAGCATGTTCTCAGCTGCCTCTCCGAACCCGTCTCGGCGCCCGCCCCCCACCCCATTTCTCTCCAGGAGCCCCCTACCCCATCTCCCTCTCCCTGTACCGACAGCTGATGGGAGGACCACTGTTGCTCAGCATCCAGCTTCCTCTCTGGAGAGCACGGGGGGTGGGAGGCTCCCAACACCTCTGGGCCCCTCCTCCCAGCCTTCAGAATCCAGGCCCATCCGCGTCTCAAAGGACGAAGGGTTCCTGCGTGACACATCGGAGCTGCCTGAGGGCTTGGGATTGGGGGTTCCCCGCTCCTCCTGCCTGGCCCCACGGATCTCACCTGTTCAAGCCCCCAACCCTCATGGCCTTTGGTCTTGACAAGCTCCTATCCCACTGCCACCCTCCACCCCTTTACTCTGGCTTTCCGCAGGGGGCGGGCAGGAAAGTTCCCGAGGGTCCTCAGTGCTGGAGCGCATGACGGGGCAGGGGCGACTGCCCATATCCCCTCTTGGTAACTCATCTCTGTCATCTCCCTGCCCTAGATCTGACGCCCCTCCCCCCATACACTAGTTTTCTAGTTACTCCCATAGGTGGCGGAGCGGGCAGGAAGGCGCTTTTCGCAATTGAACAGTCTGCGTGCCCTATAGTTGGGTGGTTTCCGGCGCCCTCTTCTGTTCCCCTTCGTGTCTCTCCTTCCACCTTGTCCCTACTCCTGCTGGCTTGCTGCCTGCCGAGGGTGTAAGCCTCCCCTCTTCCCTGATTTATCTGCTTACATGTAATCGAGGCGTGTTTTACGCGCATCTCTTTGCACGTGGGAAGTCGGCACTGGAGCACACAACGGTGGCATGGGGCGAGGGTGTCCCAGGGCCCCTCGTGGTTCTCCCTCCTTCCCTCCCTGCCTGGTCCCCTTCTCAGTTGCCCCTGACACCCGCGCCTCTTGGTCTCCCAGCAGGGCGGCGGCGGCGGCATGGAGGCGCGCTTTACGCGCGGGAAGTCGGCGCTGCTGGAGCGCGCGCTGGCGCGGCCGCGCACGGAGGTGAGCCTGAGCGCCTTCGCACTGCTGTTCTCTGAGCTGGTGCAGCACTGCCAGAGCCGCGTCTTCTCCGTGGCGGAGCTGCAGGCGCGCCTGGCCGCGCTGGGCCGCCAGGTGGGCGCGCGCGTGCTGGATGCGCTGGTGGCGCGCGAAAAGGGTGCCCGGCGTGAGACCAAGGTGCTGGGCGCGTTGCTCTTCGTCAAAGGTGCAGTGTGGAAGGCGCTCTTCGGCAAGGAGGCGGACAAGCTGGAGCAGGCCAACGATGACGCGCGTACCTTCTATATCATCGAGCGCGAGCCGCTCATCAACACCTACATCTCCGTGCCCAAGGAGAACAGCACGCTCAACTGCGCCAGCTTCACAGCGGGCATCGTGGAGGCGGTGCTCACACACAGCGGCTTCCCTGCCAAGGTCACAGCGCACTGGCACAAGGGCACCACGCTCATGATCAAGTTCGAGGAGGCGGTCATCGCTCGAGACCGGGCCCTGGAGGGCCGCTGACCCTGCCAGAGATAAAGGATACAGAGAGCCCCCTCCCCAAGTGTGTCTTGTGTCTTGTGTGGGGGCCTCAGATCCACTCAGTATCTTGAGCCACAGCCCTGCCCCAGGCTGGGGAGGGAGACCAGGTCCAAATGTGTTTACAATAGAGTGGGGGTGATGGGGGCGGCTCTGGCCATAGGGTTGGGGGGTTGAGTGAGGCCAGGGGTGGTGGGAAGAAATAAACTGGACAGAAGGATTTGGTGGGAAATGCTGGCAGGTTCTGGAATCACGGTTGGAGGATGTCTGCAGGCTTTAGGGGGCATGGGGTTCTGGGAGACCATCAGGCTGAGACAGACTCCTTTAGACTTGTGGTGGGTGAAGTGCCAGATGGGCAATATTTTATGCCATTAGTCTTTATTTTTTATTTTTTTTTTATTTGTTGAGATAGAGTCTTGCTCTGTCACCCAGGCACCATCTCACCATCTCACCTCACTGCAACCTCCAACCCTGGAGTTCACGCGATTCTCCTGCCTCAGCTTCCCAAGTAGCTGGGATTACAGGGGCCCACCACCACACCCGGCTAATCTTTGTATTTTTAGTAGAGATGGGGTTTCACCATGTTGGTCAGGCTGGTCTTGAACTCCTGACCTCAGGTGATCTGCCCACTTAAGTCTCCCAAAGTGCTGGGATTATAGGCGTGAGCCACTGTGCTCGGCTGCCATGTGGTCTTGTCCCATTACTCTGCCTACCTATTGAAAGCAACCACAGACAACGTAAAGGAGTGGGTATCACCATGTGCCTAGAAAACAGGCTGAGGGGAATTGTTTGCCTTCCTCCCTCGTTTATTATATTTTTCAGAGACAGGGTTTTGTTCTGTCGCCCAGGCTAGAGTGCAGTGGCACAGTCAGCTCACTGCAGCCATGAACTCCTGGGCTCAAGCAATCTACCCGCCCCAGCCTCCCAAGTAGCTGGGACCACAGGTGCACACCACCACGGCCAGCTAATTTTTAAAAAATGTTTGCAGAGATGGGGGGGGTCTCACTAGGTTGCCCTAGGCTGGTCTCGAACTCTTGGCCTCGAGCAATCTTCCCGCCTCGGCCTCCCTAGTTGCTGGGGTTACAGGTGTGACCCAAATCCAAATGTGTTCTGTAGATCAGCAGTAGCAGCATCAACAGGGAATTGGTCCACAATGCAGTCTCAGGCCCACCCCAGAGCTGCTGAATGTGAGGCTGCATTTTAGCCAGGCCTCCAGGGGATTCCTGGGGACCTTAGATTGAGATGCAGGCTTTAGGGTATCAGAATCGCCAGGAGGGGCTGGGTGCGATGGCTCACGCCTATAATCCCAACACTTTGGGAAGCTGAGGCGGGTGGATCACATGAAGTCAGGAGTTCGAGACCAGCCTGGCTAACATGATGAAACCCCGTCTCTACTAAAAATACAAAACATTAGCTGGGTGTGGTGGCACGTGCCTGTAATCCCAGCTACTTGGGAGGCTGAGGCAGGAGAATCGCTCGAACCCAGGAGGTGGAGGTTGCAGTGAGCAGAGATTGCGCCATTGCACTCTGGCCTGGGCAACAAGAGTGAAACTCCAAATTTCAAAAAAAAAAAAAAAGGCGCGGTGGCTCACGCCTGTAATCCCAGCACTTTGGGAGGCTGAGGCAGGCGGATCACGAGGTCTAGGAGGATCACGAGGAGTTCGAGACCAGCTTGGCTAATATGGTGAAACCTTGTCTGTACTAAAAATACAAAAATTAGCTGGGCATGGAGGTGCATGCCTGTAATCCCAGCTACTTGGGAGGCTGAGACAGGAGATTCGCTTGAATCTGGGAGGCGGAGGTTGTAGTGAGCCGAGATCACACCACTGCCCTCCAGCCTAGGCGATAGAGTGAGACTCCATCTCAAAAAA